CATCTACAATAGAATTGAAAATAGGCAGTAAAACGTAAGCAGTAAGCAAATTGACCAATCACGGTCGATTATTACAAAAATAATCGATTGCTGCCAATCCCACTGTAGATGAGATTCCACTTTACATGACTTATCAGAACCCGATAACATCACCTTATACAAACCCGATTGGGATCAATCTGATCAGAACCATGGGATCAATTTCTAATCGGGATAATCTTCGTTCAACGGGCGTCTCGCGTGTTGCGATCGCAAAGATGTCCGATAAAACTCGAGGGACAGGCGTCACGCAGCTCGACGACGAGCGCTTTGCGAGAGCACCTCGGCAGAAGCGGAGAGTAGCTCGGAAGATCGTTAAATCGGGTTTACGATTCGAGGAGGGGGAGGGGAGAAGACGATACACGATGCAGGTTGGGGGATGATGCTATAGCGGCAGCCGTCGACGCTGTCGACCGCTGCGACCGCGAGGAAATGCACCATACATAGCATCTTGTCGACGTAAAGATCGCGCGCGTACGTCTCTATTCCATCTCCGGCGGATGCGATTAACCATTTTCCCACCGCGCGTTACACATCGCGCACGAGAACTCCGACATTACTCATTTGCAGCTGGCGGCTTTTTCATGCAGCTGCGAGCGAGCGCGCTGCGCTTGGATACGAAAGCTCGGCGGATTTAACTATCTCCGAGATTTATGCCGATGATATACGTTTGCAGTGTAGTGTAATTACGTCGTGCCGTCACGTAATTTTATCTTCCCGCGTCATCCCCGAAACGTACTTCCTTCCGTAATATCGGATATCGCACGAGACGCCGATTTGATTTATGCCGCTACACACTGCGCGTCAGAGCCTTTTGCGACAGAGCCGTCGCGGATGTGAGAGGCACAAAGAAAGGGCGAGAAAAAATCTCGCTGGGAAAGATGTCGCATCGCGATAGATTGACGTTAAGGGCGGCGGCTTCTACTCCCAAAATCCGCGACCATTTTTGGCCGTTCGCTCGTGTGCTCGTCCCACGTGACCGGAAAGAATAAATAAATCGTAATGTAAATCCCTATAAATCCTTCGCACTCGCAGCCCCGCCGCCATCGCATTTACATTCAACATACACCCATAAATTTTTATCGACTGCATTGACGAACTGGCGATTTCTCCTCCCCGCCGCCACCATCTCCCTCCTTCTTCCTCCTGCCCAGCCCTGCCCTGCCCTGCCCTGCCCACCCGCTCGCGCGCGAGTCCAACAATGGACATAAATTCCACGGCGCCCTTTGTCAGGATACTACCGTTCTCGCTCTCGGAGACTACCCTTACACGAGGAAGGATTATTTATACTTGCGCGCGGAGAGCGAATTCTGTGCAGCATAGCTGCAGCCGATCGCGGCGATTCATCATTTAATAATCTTCGTTATATCGGAGGAATAAACTAAGATTTAATGTTCGGGAGCGTTAATCGAGAGAGAGAGAGAGAGAGAGAGAGAGACGCGAGGATGCATGCAGCTTCGAATTTCCCAATGGTACAGCGAAACGATTTTGCGAAATCAGATAAATGATGGAATCGTATTCCAGCAGCGTGTTCGATCATTTCATGAGGAACCTGCACGAACGTCGTCGGTTGTAAATATGTTTTTGAACCTCTCGATGCTAATGGCCGCGGGGATTAATCACCGACGAGACTTTTTCTACGCTTTCCACGCATTCCAAACGTACGCTGCTAATCACGAGATTGGATATCATCAAGCGAGCGAGCCGATTACGATCTTATTTGTAAAAGTCACCGATACCACGCGCGGCAAGTTGCATAATTACGATGCTTACGTCTCGGAAAGGTCGTCGTTGCAAAGCAAATCATGACTCATCGCGTCCTTCGAGAGTAACACGGTATTGGCGCTCGACTGTCAATTCTTTTCGCAACGCAGTTTACGACACGCGACACGCTCAAGAGATGTCAGAATCATACGATTTCGTTTCGACTCAACGACACCGACGCTTTCTCCACGCGTTTCCTTTACCGTTACGTTTTTCGCCGTAATGGCGAGAGCGCATGTCGCTTTAAAGGACGCGAAGATTGCGTCGGGCGTGTGTCTCGTTGCTCACGATAATAATACGACGGGAAATGAAGAAATTGCTGAGAACAAGATGAAAGGGTCAAATATTGTCGCGAGACGCGGGACAACAAATCAGTTAATAATACACGATCTGATGAAACGCGAATTCATATACGGAGAAGAGAGTTTGGTGAACTTTGATTAATTCAATGTCCTATGAAAATACGAACGAACCATAAGTTCCGATTGAAGTTACCGGAATTCTGTTCAAGTTAACAAGACTTCTGGTTAACTTGAACGGTCATTAGTTCTAGTTGACAGAAAATTTTGTCAACTTGAATAAAATTCTGGTAACTTCGACTGGAATTTCCGGCTCTCGTTCATATTTCACCGGACATTTTCGGTTAATCTAATTCCTTTTTTATACACTCTTTGTCATATATACGCAGCTCTTTTTTCACAGTCGATCCGCACGGATTGCACAGTTTTTTCGATAAATACACAAATTTGCTTATTTATCAATTTGCCACATTAAAGATTAAATGGTTCTCCGATGCGCCAGCAATGTATATAATATTCGAGGTAATTAGCCGATGTCATGGCAAAAGGATTACTCTTCGTTAGGAAATTCAATTCAAATTTCGTAAACAGAATTAAATAACATTACAATATTCACTTCTGAATGCAATGGTGCATGAAAGGCTATACATGCGAGTGCATTACTCGCGGGAATTATAAAGTTTCACGTGTGATCGGTGATTCCGCTGCGCGAGTACGCGCAAAACGCAAACGAGAGTCCGTTTAATTATGGAAACTCGTAGCGAACAAGATTTGCAATTAAATCCGACTTATTTCGCAGGAAATAGCGCCGAGATGATCCCGCAACGTACGCACGGAACGTACACACAGCGCGTATTAACTGATTTAATGCCATTCATTCAAATGCGACTCGCTCCGGTCTTACGGAGCCCCAGGAACGTGGCTCTTGAAATAGAATGTCGACGAACAGAGAAATTCCACGCAGTCGGAATTCCCTGAAGGGACGGGGATCATCTCGCGCGAACGAAGAACGAACGTCGCACGCAGCAACGTCGGCTCTTGTACATTGCATGACCATGAGAATACAGTGCACATCGTTACGCGGCAATGAGCAAAATGTATCGAACGCGATGCACGGGCCGCTGCGTCACACGCGGGCATCACGCATCGACTCGTTCATGCGTGTCGAGGGAACAACAATACGTGACGTTAGCGAACTCTGAATTAAAATAACAGGTATATTCACGACGAATCGTGAAAGTATTCGCACGGAGAATATATATTTTTTTTCATATAAATTCTGTTTAATCTCCAAATATATTTCTATATATGTCAAGAGAACAAATGTTTAAAAAATAAAAAGTATTTTTCCGATGGATACTAATAATATATTTACTTGTATTAATATAAAGTAATAAGGCTGTATATTTGATAATAGTTTAAAAAGATATAATTGATATTGTGGATAATAATTATTACATACATACATACATACATATATATATATATATATATATATATATATATAAAGTGCGAATTAAAAGAAAAGTTGAAAATGTAAAAAGTAAAAGGAGTAGAATATTTAGATATTTTTTCTCTCAATGCACATGGAAAAAAAGATTTGATTGAATTAACCAAATATCTGGTAAAAGATAAACGATCCAGAAATTCCGATTGAAGTAACCCGAATTCTGTTTAAGTTAATAAGATTTTTGGTTGACTTAAATAGACTTCGGGTTACTTCAATTGGAATTTCTGGATCATATTCGACCAGATATTTAGTTAATTCAACCAAACCTTTTTTTCCGTGCAGGTATAAATTATCAATAAATTTCGTAAGAAATATAATAAATTTTTTAATAGCATATTTAAGTTTCAAAAATTAATACGTATAAAATAAGAAGATAAAACTGATTTATTTCTCCGAAATTCTGTAGTAAATTTCACTATAAAATTCTCTCCGTGCACTTTGTTAAATTTTTACGAATAGCGTATTTCTCTCGTCCGCGTAATCTAAAATTCTCGAATGTGTAGTTTGCAACTGTGAATATTTCTTAAGCAGAATTAAAATTCGCATTTATTACGTCATGTCCTTTCCTCTATATTTACGAGCGCACGTAGGTTATCTACTTATGGAGAAAATGCTTTAAACGGAGACGGTTTTTCAGCTGACCGCGACGCTTATGGGTGACCACTGAGGGATTAAAATTTCACATGCGTCATGGACGCGAGTGAAACACGAAAAAACGGAGCTCCGCTGAGCGAACACCGCGGAGCGAAATGTCGTGTGCAGTTGCCGTGGACTCCAGTTTAAAAGATATGAATACGCGAACCGACATTTCATTAACATAAAACCACGACAAACATTATGCACGACACCGACAACTGTACGTGCGAGGCGCGAAAAAGCTTGTAAACACACAGCGAGCTCGAACGAACGGCGCGCACAGAGTCCTATCGACTGACCTTGAGACTGCTCCAGAAAATCGCGCGCGTGAGATCAATCGGCTGATGCTACGTATAACGCGATAGTCCCGTTCGATGTTTTCCACCCCTTCCTAGTGTCCGCGAGTACAAAGACTATCATAACCGTTTCAGGGTCATAAACATAGCTCGGGTTCGCAACCCGAGTGAACGCGCAACGATTGACGCAAACAAAGGCAATTCAATCCGACAAAGTCGTAAACGGCTACGACAATCTCTGTGAGACAGGCCTCAGAGGCCGGAATCGAATGAATAGGACACGACGCGCGTGATGGCGCGACATGACAGGTCAATTTGAAACAAGCACCAGCTGAATCGCGTCAAGTGTCAGCGTGAGAAAACCGTTAACGAACAGCCGCGTAACGAGGTGCATGCCGAGAGAGATCTCAGCCTCGAGGTCGTATGCGCGTGTATATATACAACAAAGAAACTCACCCTGACTCTCGGCGTGCGTGGCAGGGACGATGATCGTCAGCAGCAACACCGCCAGGACCAGCAGCAGCTTGCACCGCACCGTCAACGAACGCACAACACCACCGTCTCTTCCGCCTCCTCCGCCGCCGCCGCCGCCACCGCCGACGCGCCGTGAATCCGCGCGCCGGGAATCGCGCGCCATGTTCCTGACGAGTTGACACGGCTGCCTGTCCGATCGCTAAACGCGTTGGCCCCGCGACTCACGCAAACGTCATGACAACGGACGGCACACGTTTCGCGATTCGCACGCACGCACGCTCCTAGCACGCTGGCTTCCTTGCGTCTGTCGTTCGCGCGCGCACACACCACACTCGTACCGACCACCCAGCCCGACTGCTCCGACCGCGCAGACTGTTGCGACACCTCTGGAGTCGGCCGATCACCTCCCTCCCACCACCTATCGAGCCGCCGCCGAGCGGCGACGGAAACGGCCGAGCGCTCACGAACGTAAGCGCGCCATGACGCACGGAATTCAACACGCCTGACTCGCGGCCAAACGTGCACTTTGTTCCCCAATATAGTTTCAATATTTCTGTCGATGCATTCCACAACGTATTGATGGTCCAATGAGAGAACTTGCTTCTCATTAATTTCCGAATGTTGAGTTCTCTCATTGGACTATTGGCTACGTGCTGAAATGCGTCGAAAAAGAAGCTGTTCAAACCGTATTGAAATTAAGTGTACACTTCGGCTAAGTTTGTTTTATACATTTTTGTGTTGAAAGTATAATTTTATTTTAATGCTTATATGCCAAAGGAAGATAGAATGATACGAAAGTATACATGACAAATTTGAGTAAAGAAGGCTTTGCTGGTAAAGAACTGAGTGTACACTCCTTGCTAACAGACTGATATTATTTTTCGAGATTCGACGTTACGGATATCTCTGAGATATTGTATTTTTCTCTTTCTCTCTAATCATCACTGAATTTTTTATTCTCCATTGATAAAACGAAAACTCGATTTTATTATTACTCGAGTGAGTCGATTGTGGCAACAAGTATAGATAAAAGATTCGACACGTCGCGACAAGCACCAGTGATATGTATCACTTGCTTGTCTCGTTATATAACGAGAAACGAAGGAATTGAGCCTTAATAACATACTTACGACACGTCCCAACGATCGCACTTTATTATTTCCAACATTCCCGATACTTGCTTCCACACGAGACTCGGGGTAGAATTTTAAAGTGCAAACATTTTCGAGTGCGCGTACAGAAAAACTGTAATTGGTCTATACGGCGCTTCAAAATATTTGTAACGTCAAATAGATCCAACTTTCTTATTCGACAGACAAGACACGTAAAACGCGGTGTCACCGATATGTTAATGACGATTGTACAATGTGAAAACATTGACCGTGCTCGCGCAATGCACAATGGATGCCGAAAATTCACTTAAAAATATGCACGGTATCGACAAAGACACGTTACACTCCTCTCTCTCTCTCTCTCTCTCTCTTTCTGTTTTTCTGACGGACCGACGCTATCTCCCGAGATTCGACATCGCGTATATCTGTCTCCTTCCCTCTGACTACTACCGAATGTCGAATTCGCAATCAATAAAACGACGATCGTCCGATTCTACTGCTATTCCCGTGAATCGATTGTAATAACAAATGTAAAAGACGCGGGCTCGAGACGGCTTGCGACAGGCATCGATTGCATTACAAAGGAAAGAGGTGATCACTCTGCCTAATAACGTACTTACGAAACGTCCTGACAATTGCACATTGCTATTTGCGGCACTCCCGATACTTATTTAAGCGCGGAACTCACTTTTGACGGACAAAAGACGTGTAAAACGCGGAGCGATGTCGATCGATGCATCAATGGCGGTTACTCGGCGCAAAACGATCGAGGATGTTCGCGCAATGCATGACGAAAGCCGAAAGTTCTCGTTACGATGTGAATATTATCGCACTCCTGCACGACACGCTCTGCCCAATCAGCTTCGCGGATGCCTTATCGTTCGATAGATCGACAATTACTAATAATTCTCCACCAGCTGCATTTATTTCTAGCTACATGTACTTCCCATTATCATTAATTAATCTAAAAAAACGTCCCCACTTTTTGGATTAATTAACAATTATTCTTAACAGTCAGAATTAACAACCATAAGAAATGCATAGCTTAAAACCAATGCGACTGAAAACTTTTAGTAACTATCAATCTATCGATGATAATCGATATCACCCACGGAACTGCGAGGTCTCGTATGATTTCCTCGGCGAGGAAAAGGAGATTTTGCGATCTACCACTAAAATGAGAGAAAAATCAATTTGCAACAACAAGTAGGATTGAAAGATCACTGATATTGTAGGCCATTCTTGAATAATGCTATTTTTAGACGCTTTACGTACACTTGAAAATGATATCGTTTTATTGGTCTCTCTTAAACAAAATCGTATCGCACATCAAATGTTAAGCGAAGAATTTGAGACAGGTTGTGAATTTGTTATTGATCGGAAAAGTCAAAGTTTGAGTTTCCATAATAACGATGTCGAAAGAATCTGCAATTTAGAACTTAGCAACGACTAATGGTTTCTACATGAATATCGATCAAACTTCTTACAAGTCGTTTCATTTAATTCGCGATTACGGTAAGTGAAGATTTCCAAGTCAGTCGACGAGATTTCGCGACGCTCTTAGTCGTCTCTCATTATGGAAAACGTTCGAAAGGAATTGACGAGAAGAATCGTTAACATATGCAAAGCGAGAGAAACACCCGTAACCAAGGATTTAACCTCGTTTTTGGTAACCCGATTGTCAACGCTAACCTACAAGATTGTTACGAAATGTATTCCGTCAAAGTAGAATTTCAATAAGTTTTTTATCTTGAATTTTTTTCCATAAAACAATTCCAGCTTTCCCTGTACCAGCTGAATCCGACGTATCGAATTAAGGAAAAAGACGAGGAGAACAATACGAAAATATTCGATGCTATCACGGAGAGGTTATGTGATCAAAGCAAGCCAAGTCTGACGACTTTGAAAAATCAACTATACTTCGCCAAGCATTATCACGAAAGAGGTAGAAGAATATATGAATGTTATTCTTACCTCTTTTGATCTCACACGTCTTCCACAGATGAAACAGTCAAGAGACATCGATTACGACTGCACCAAAAAACTGGACCTTTGGTGGCAGAAATTTGCGAAACTGACAAATTGAAAGGTGCAAAAGACACGGAAAAGTTGTACCAGAAAATCTTGGTAGTCATAACACTTCTGAGTGGTCTAGGAAGTCCTACAATTCCTTCTGTTCTGAGGCACTTATCATGTTTTTCATCAATCTTCTATCAACTTGATAAACACTCAAGATTAGTGTATCAGTTTGTTATATCGCGATAATTAAGGCAGTGCTATAGATTTCCAGATTACGTTTACGCAGATTATTTGCATATTTACTATGTGGTGTATACATGGTTGTTTTTCATGTAGACAATATAAATCATGTAGACAGAGTATTATATTAAAACATACAAGAAAACAAGTGAAATTGCTGAGACAGTTGCATCTGTCTTGGATATTATAAATACAATGTTCAAAGGAGACAACAAATTGTATGAAATTTTTACTTCATTATATGACAGATTGGTAGATTTAACTTTAGATAAGAGTGTAACCAGAAAATTCTGTGGATTTTAGTTTGTTTAGAAAACAATGTTTACAAATTCGAACTAGTATTCTAAAAGTTAAATATAGACTTTTCTGAATTAATTTTTTAATAAGCTGCACGTTTTTTAAATGACACCCACAGATTATTCATTGTTTACATAGAAGATAACTCATATATAGTTTACATTGTCTACATATAGACGTAGAATATCGTGCAACGTATTTTGCAAGAATTTTTACAGTATTTTCTCGTCTCCGATGTCGTCATTATTTTGAAGTTATATATTTAATCGTCTTGATAAAATCTCCGGCGTTAAGATCGATGTAAGTAACACTTAAAATATATTTCGTGGTAGGGAGGTATCGGTGGCGTTGCAGAGCGTCTTCCAGGCTTCTGAGTTGACTCGCTACGTGACTTTACCGAAACGCGAGAAAGAGGAACAACTGATGGAGCTGATGTGCATAGTCGCGGGTATCCGATTGTTCAACAGGGACTGTCAACGCGGTGGCGAGGGAATCGATGATCGTAAGAGCAAATAATTAATCCGATCGACGAGCGTGCTAGAGAGAGAGAGAGAGAGAGAGAGAGAGAGAGAGAGAGAGAGAGAGAGAGAGGGAGGAGGAGGCAAGAAAGAGACCTCGAAACGATCGTACGAGAGCTCTCTCCTGCAAGTAGTTACAGCGACCGTAATTGCTTTCAGTGCCGAGCATCTTACAAGAGGCTCTAACGAAGACTCGCAACTCTATACTCGAGTTGTTAGAGCCGTTAATGGCCAAAGTATACAAGTTCACGGCTGCTGTGGAAAACGCTATCGCGTACGCATCATCGACCGACGCTTCCTCGGATGCTGCGTGTTTCAGCAACTCGAGAGAAGTGGCCGAGACATCCACCGCCAGGGAAAACGTCGTATGGGCTATTGAGATGCTGACGGCTAGTCGCCAGCAAGAGATCTACATCAGGTTCCTCTTTAAAAAAGTAGTATTTAATATGCAATCTGACACGATTTCTCTGATGCGATTCCTGTCGTAGAAAGCTGTTAAGCGACGTTGAGAGCAGCGAGAACGCGGTGAAAAATCTGATGGAACGTCTTCGGGGACGATTCTTTAAGCTGCACGATACCGTCAGATACAGAACGGCTATTCCCACCGCTCAAGTCTACGTAAATATATATAACCGCATTACTCTGTTAAAAAAAAAAAAACAAAAAAAAAGTTGGTGCATGACAATTATTTTTATATAATTTCTTACCGCGTGTTGGGTATTTCCAGAAATTGAAATAACTGCAGAATCGATTTTAATAGTTTCATCGAAATTGGTTTTCACAGCAACATCACGTCACGCACGTCACGATATGTCATGGTATTTCTCACTTAGTCAGATATATTTTATTGTGTCAGCAGGGTGTACTCACAAAATAAAATATTCCCTCGGTTTTCAAAGCGTTTGATGAGTCATTTCGTAAAAGCAACGCAATTCATGAATATTGATATTGCTATATATCTGCCTATCAGCCGCAATTTATCGATTTGGCGGATATATGGATGGGACTGCAAGACGAGGTGATCATTTTGAGTAACGTCAATAACTTCCTATGGGAATTACAGAGTTTGAGTAATAAGGTAACGGTGCACTCAACCATATCGATCCTGGCATATTTGCGGAATATACTGCATTGAGAGTGATTTACATATACATTCACAGACCGTAAACGTTTACGATCAAACGAAGTTAGAGGACATAGCCGAGGATGTGGACATCTTGACTGATGCTGAAAGATTGGAACGTTCTATGGGCAACTTGATAAGTACTGGGCAATTTCTCGGATTAAAATAAATATTCAGTTCAGAATACTTGCCCCTCAATTGAACCCTGTACAATCTCGTATTTTAATTATTTTAATTAATTAATTATTTACACGGACTATATTTTTATTTGTAGCGGAGTGCGGCGAATGTCTAATATATTACCCCAATGTTACTAAGGACTTCGAGAAGATCAATTTGGAGGTAATAGCATCATAGAGCACGGTGTGTCTCTGAAGATTCAGGCAGTTCTACTTAACGAAATCATTCAAACATTTTCGATCGATTGACGGCGAAATGTGTCGCAGTTTCTAGGATTTTGCGCATGGACGTTCACCACAGGTAAGGGGGCCTTAATACCGGGTAATCCGAATAACGGTGTGGCAAAGTGGCGAGGAAAGTATTACGCCTTCAAATCGTCCAAGGCAGCCATCAAGTTTGGAGAGAATCCCGACAGGTAGTCTTATGTAGGTGCGAGTAATTCGTAGATTCTTCAGTAACTATATGTTACCAGGTACGTTTACGAGGCGCTCGATTTCGTTCGCAACCATCCGGAGTACATACACCTATTCAAGTTGCACGAAGAAATCGAAGCTATGCAGAATCAAGAGGAGTGAGTTGCTTATTATATATAGACTGCATCGTGTCGTTTTTCCAGAAACAACACGAAACATAACACTCGCTTTTCAAGGTTTACTAAGGAAGGCCTGCAATTAAAGGTCCGTCATAATCAAAAGGTTCAAACGGATGTTCACATACTTCCCCCTTACATCGATAAAGATTATACTTCCAGCATTTGGGAACTTAAGCGCAGAGCTTTAAACTTGGTGAGTTGAACTCATTGAACTCGATTGGCATTATAAAAGGACGACTAATTGTTGAAATTATATATCCTGAACACAAACACATGCACAAAAGTTCTTTTATTATCGTTTGATCAACGATAACGAATTCAAGATATCTTAATTTACTCTTGACTTTTTCTTAATATTTCGATGTATGTTTCTTACTGTCACAAAATTTACGGTTGTACAATTATGTTTAATTTACCGCAAATCACGTACGATCCATGGCTTCTAGATGATAAATATAAAAATAATGGAACTTTATCAAAATTATTTTACTATTTTTTTCACGTGACATAGATATGCGCATTTTAGTATTATTAGTTAATATGTTTATATTTTATAATAATCTATAAGCTCTTTCTCGAGTTGTAATATTCTTATGCTAGAAATGTAGAGTAAATATGCTTTGGTAGAAATGGCAGATTGTATCTTTCTGTTGTCATACGAGAGGTCAAAGTTGATGTTGATAAAATCATTCATCCAGTTTTCTACACGTTAAAAGTTCGCGTATGCAGTATGTTATAGAAATGGTTAAACTTAGGAGAAAAATAGTCTGGCGATCTGTTTATAAAAATATTTTGCTTTAAGATATCAAGATAAATATAGTGTAAATATTATGACATCTCTCTCTAGGCTTCTTTTTTGAATATCTTAATCACGATATGTATCACATATACATTCTGCGTTCGTACCTAATTTTAATTTTATTGATGAAAGATGTTTTATTCGGCTTTACGTGTGTGATAATTTTCCAGGCAAACATAAGTCGATGTACGACACGCAGCACACAGACGTTCAACTCGCACTTTCGATATGCTGTTTACGTACAAGCAGCTCCGCCTCAGGATAAGGAAGTTCAAACCAGAAGAGATAACTGCACGAACACGAAGAACCTTAAGACGTTCATATTTGGGCTGCGAGGCAGGCGGGATGACAATCAACATATCATATCGTTCTTGGAAGATGAACTTGAGCACTTGTAAAATTAAAGTAAATGATGACCTGGTGTACGTCAATATAATCATGAGATATACACGTAAATAAAACGTTTTAATAACAATATTGGTCGTAGTAAAAATGCTAACACAATTACATGTACACAACATCGTTAATTATCAAACTCGTGTGACTAATTCAAACATACATTAAAGGATGCATGTGTCGGGCAACATTTAAAGGAGCGCCAGAGGAAACAATCGAAATAAACAGCACGCATTACGCAATTAAAAAAAAAACCAAAGCAATACTTTTTAATGACATTCCCAAATACAATTCACGGAACATTACAGTTTAAACCATCCATCTTTCCGGGTTTAGAAAACGAATCTGCATTATAATTTATCATTCCGTGTGCACGTATCATTTTCTTGGCGTATATAGCGCTTTCCTGATCATCAAACTGCAATGATTTCATTCATGTGGCTTTTTTCGTGATAGAGAGACTTAGGCCTGCATTTCTTTAATTTATATTCAAAATACACAAATTTTACACATGTCGAAGCTCGGACAGACTTGCGTGGCTATTTTCCGCGCTCCGTGAGCCTATTATATTTCCTACGCTTCAACATTGTGCAGTGATCGCTGCACTATGATTTTATATGCTTATATCGTACCTTTTAGTGAATATATTGTTTTATCATTAGATCTTAAACATTAGGTCAATTTTTACACCAAGAAACCTATATTACGACAATAATTAGTAATTACACGATAATACAATTAAACTTTGCTTACAATTTCAGTGTATAATGTAGCTATTATACAGAAGAGGTACAGGATGTTGATTTTTCGCATATCTTTTCTTTGTTTTCCGTGCTCCTTTTCAATGTCCACACACATTTCCTCCCTTTTAGGGGCAAAATTGTCTGACACTTTATTACATCCATTATCCAAGAATCATCAACATTGCATTTAACATAAAAGGAGGAGAAAGAAACGACAAAAGTATCACGCAGTTCGTTATAGAAAAAAATATTAAGATCATCAAGACAAGAGCATAAAAAAGGTATATTTGTAATCTGCTTCAAACAAACTGAAAGAGCAACTACTACTGTTGTAATTTAATCGATAGTAACAAATGTCGCTGGTGAAAATGTCACGGGGTAAAATCTAGCTACTTATATTTTGAACAAATTATTTTCGAGTTCAAATGTGCTTTTTTCTAGTTTGTCATTTAAATATCGTATTTAATAACAGTACGTCATGTTTTCGTGTCGGGAGTAAGATATTGTTATTAATGACGACCATACAAATGATATATAACATTTACTCCGAATTGGATGACTTAAAACCGGCTTATTGACTGTTGGCCACTGTAATGTCTTTCACATTTCGAAATCATCTGAACGTCCAGAGTAACAATTGTCCCAATAATTTAATGAATTTACCAAGGAAGAGTTAAGATACGCGTAACATGATTGAAATGTTATTCTTCAATATCTTACTGAAATCAGCAATTCATTTCTAATCATAATTATCGAGTTATAATTAGATATTATTATCTATCAGCATAAAACAATTCAATGACCAGCGAGGAAGCAACCGGGATAAAACTGTTACGATGGGCGACAGATTATATCGGAATAGCGTAAACATGGTCTAAAGTCTTAAGTCGCAAGAAATACGTTTGTGTTTCATGTATATGTATATATTTTATGTATTTTGTGAGAAAGATGGAGGTGCACGGCGCACCCTGGAATATGTTATATGTATATATAACTTGTCGGAGATCAGGATTTGGGGATGATTTAGTCTACAAAATGATTTTTAAGGTATTTCATCATACCAAAAGTTCTAAAGCGCTTCACGCCGATTACCTTCATTAGTTCCTCGTCGCAAATCGCAAACTGTTTATTCTTAGGGTCCTGTAAAAACAACCATGACTCTTAGTAACGTGATCTTTTCTCAAATAAACATGTTAATTTCGATATGTTATACAAATCATAAAACATAAAATGTCGAGCAAATATAAAATATCTCGAGTCAATTGCAAATGATACCTACATATAGGTTTCTTTCTTTGATGATACTCCATACTTTCTTGACGACTTCATGTCGAGCCATTTGTTCAGCGCCAACAATCGCTGCAAGCTCTGGAGACAATGTGATGGCGCGTGTGTAACCACCACCCTTGCCTTTGCCGCCGCCACCCTTCTTTGCTGTGCTTCCTGGAGCCTTCTTATTCTTTCCCCAGTCTTCATCACTGTCACTATCACTTCCCTTCTTTTTTCCCTTCTTTCCAGGCTTATCTGCAAAAAAAATGAAAATGTGATTTAATATTCATACTACTTTACTTTCGATTCGACATTTTTCAATAGAATGTTGAACAGTACTTTTTTTGGGTGTAACTTTAGGTTTCTTTGGGCTGTACTCCTCATCGCTAGCATCATCATCACTAGCGCTTTCCTCATCGTCAGATGAACCCTTCTTGCGTTTGCTAGGAGCCTTCTTGGTAGGACTTCGCTTGGCTGGCTTCTTTTCTTCCTCCTCCTCTTCCTCTTCTGATGCTTCTTCTTCTTCCTCCTCACCATCTTCAGACTCCTCACTAGCAGCCTTCTTCTTTTTCTTACCTCCATCTTGTTTCTCTTGAAGACACTCCATAACTAAATCATCGACCTCCTTCTTCCTATAGAGAGAAAATAGTTTGAGTGTATGTGAGTAACTATTATCGAAGTGTGAATAATGTGAATTTCGATGAAAATGTTAGAGGAGGAACGAGGTGGCAACTTATTTTGATTTAGTTCCACTCAGAAATCCTCTTTTTTCTCTTGGACATTAAAAAACTCTCTTTTGCACTATTTGATCGTGCATAAGTACCTGCTATACATGTCCGTTTTAATCTTTACTAAATTCTAAAAATAACACGTGTATTCAATGAAACAGATATATACTCAATGCAATCTAATAGAAATAAATTATATTTTGATCTGAGATTCTGTACACATGAAAAATTAGCAATTTAAACTTGATAAAAGAAAGACTTTTCCTAGCACATTGCTTAATATTGCAATCGAATAAACTTGTTTACATTTTTACTTCTATCTTTTCAAATACAATACTTTACCAACGTGACATACATATTTAATACAAGGCATTATTAACATTTAAACATTAATTTAAGTAACAATTTTATCAAGTGCTTACCTTTCTGTAAGATCAACATCGAGTTTCTCCTCAATTTGTTGCCTTACTTTTTTGGCAGACATTGTAGTGAGATCCGCATCCTTGAGGATAGCTATATAAAATTAATAAATTAAATCAAATGTATATCAAGAACTTGTATCTTAAATTTTCTACCAAAATGGGGACAGCATGTGCAATAAGGAGCACATTTTACATATAATATTCAACAATAACACAACACAAAATTGCATATTTAAAACACAACACAATTGTTGTTAAAACTATCATTATAAAACTATCAATTATAAAATACGACGTATATATATTGTTTTTGCAAAAGTATTTTATTTATCATATTTATTTATCATAAAAAACTAATATTCTTTGTAGAATTACTCGTGAGGATACATTGTCAAAAAAAAAAGAAAGAAAGTGTAACTAAAAAGGCGCTGGTCGAAAAATGCGCAAATTTATTGCGAAATTATTTATTTGCTTAATATCCACACAAGAAAGGAAGAACGCGCCACATGATACGCCATTCGTTGGGATGATGGCATCCCGCGCGTGTCTAGTGCGTTGTGTGTCGCGGACTCTGGGGTAATATGGTTTCCCGCGTCGGGGGATCTAGTGAATATCGAGCGCAAATGGTTGCCCGTAGCGCGCGCTATGCCGGTCGTTGCCGATCCGCACGGCGTACCGCCAACGAGAAGATATCTGTAAGTACGCGAGGAGGCGACGGTAAGACGCGCGGAGCGGGACGAGGAGGGATTTTTCTTCGCGTGCCGCGGTCGATCGTGCGGCGCATTGATTCCCGAAACGATCAAAAGCCACGAGAGAAGATGCGGAGGGAACAAGATGGCGAGAGAGAGAAAGACAGAGCGATACAAAGAGAAGGAGTGAGAGGGGGACAAAGAGAGGGAAGAGAGAAAGAGCGTGGTAAGTGTGCAAAGCGGAGGGAACGACGGCCGTTGTGGCGCGGCAGCAGCGCGGAGGTCGTACGCGGTCGATTCACTTCGCCGAAAAGCGCTCACGAAAAAAATACACGCGGCAGCAGCGCGCGCGCTTCGTTAAGCATCGACTGCCGCGTTAATCCGCAATGGGCGAGTCTTGCGCGAGACCATCGCCCGGCGACCATCGCGCACTCCATTTTATGGGAAAAGATAGCAAAGTAGTAAATATCTCCGGGAACAGAGGAGGTAATACTGGCATCGGTGGCGGCGGCGGTAGTGGCGGTTATAACCAATGACGATCCAATCGGTGATTGGTGTGAAGGCGCGCAAAGGAGGGAAAAGGGCGACGCGCGCGCTCCGTTCCGATCGACGAGCAAGCGTATCTCTCACACGCTCGGTACACGAAGGAGATTCGCGTAGGGATATGCACTTTTTTCTCTCCAACAGCGCAAAAATCCGGCGTGACGCCGTGGCTACCCGAGACGGAGAATGCGAGTGTGCAAGCGAGCGAGAGAGAAAGCGAGCGAATACGCGTGAAAACTCGAGAAAAAAGAAAAGGAGAAAGAGAACGAGACACGAATGCACGAGAGAACGAGGCTGATAGGCGCGCGCCACCACGCACACACACACATACACTCGAGACGCGTCATACGGCCCGCCGCAAGGACGGATCGAAAGCCACTATTTTATAGCGAACGACGAAAAATCCGCGATTTCGCCAGGACACCGAAGTATCTGCTCGGAAAATCGCGAGCGAATTGCACGCGCCATACCGTCGCCGCATCTCGTCGTTAGCACGATACGTAGGTGGCGAAATACGGAGAGCCGTAGGTTGTAATGGCCGGCGCGGGGCACGCCACTCGGGCACATACGTGCGCGCTAAAGTCCTCACGTCGCAAGAGCAAAGAGCCCGATTTCGCCCGTATTCCCGGTGCCGCGGCTATGCGCAACGGACGCAAACGCCCACGACGAGCTCGGTTACGTGGTAGTACGATGCCGGAATCGTCTACATCGTGCGATATCGCCACTTACCGGTGATCTCCTTGCGTAGCTCGTCCTTCGAGATATCGGCCATGGTAGGTGCTTCTAGTTGAACGTACTGCTGCCAACTGAGCCTATGCCGGCTGCGGACTCCCGTAGCGTCCGTTGGTACAGTCAGTGCTGGCAACGTCGCGACACTCTCTCACACGACGGCCCTTCGGAAGCGGATAACTCGACAACGGTCGCACCTAGACGAATACTCTATACGCCGAATCGTGTTAGTTTTTTACGGCCGACAAGTTTCTCATGACGCCCCGCGCGTAATTCGGCGATCGGAGTGTGCCAATTCGGTCCTTCTGTACAATTCGCGTGCTACACTTTCTCGCCTGACTGTACGTCAAGCGGCCGCTCGTGTGGCTGCCGGCGGCGTCCACAGTACAGTCTGCGCGCGTCGCCAACGGCAGCGCTCCCAGAAAAAGGCCCTTCAACGCGCGATAACTTCCTACCGCGGCCACGAAGACGGATACTATATACACCAAATCGGGTCAACTTTTTTTTCTCTACAAGTTTCTCATAACGCCCCTGGCGCAATATTGCGATTTAACAGGTCCGATATGCCAGCTCTTTGCGCGGGCCGCGTCAATCTTTCGATCCTGACTGTACCAAGCGGCAAGCACACTCCGAGTTTTCGTAGCGTCGAGAGCGCCTAGTCGCCCGTCATATGACAATCAGTACGTGTTCCAGGGATGTCATTAAAGAAGGAACGCTCATTCGCGATACGCATACGGCGATGACGACGGCGAACGTCGATGCGCGAGGAAGAGGTTGCGTCCGCCTCGCCATAGCTAACCTGCTTCGATGCTTTGCACAGTCTGCTCGATTGATTGTTAATATTTTTATCCAGCTATCGTACATACGTCTGTTTGATGAAAAAAAGAAAGAATCCTAGATATATGTATATATATATATATACGTGTAAGTACCTGTACAGGAAATGGACTGAATTTCGATACTACCTCATCAGGTGACATCTGTACGGGCCCCACGAATTCCTCGCGCATCGAAAAGTCATCCTTTAAGCATAATCGCGCCCAATCAGCGCGATATTTTAACAGGCCGCGGCGGTAGAACCAGCCGCTCGGTTCCTTCGTCGTGTTAGAGGTACAGCGACAGCCATAAGTATCCGCACGCTCGCCACGATAAATGAACTTCAAAGAGCCATAACTCCGAAACCGTGCATCGTACAGCGATACTGCAATCACATAATCGTATCAGTTTGTCGCGACGGAGATCTTTCTCATGAAGCCCCTCGCCCGATTTTATCATCTAAACAGTCGGTGCGACCCACCTGCCGCTCGTCCCGATATTACTCTCCGCACTGACGGTACCGCATCCAGCGCGTGTCCATTTACAAGTGAAATATCTTAATGAGACATCGTGCACATGTAGCCCGTAAACCATGTCATAGAAATATCCACCTTGCCGAAATGCGCAACTACATCTCTCTGTCACGGTTCTCGTATATTATTTATTGATGACGTATTGTGCAATGTAATGCCGCCACGAGCGTTTGAACGCTCTAACATGGCCGTGCTAATTTTCGCGGTTGCACCTGGCCATGTGGCGCCTCTTTCCTGCTCATTGTGACTGCAACGAGACGATATCCGGCGGCACAGTTGTGTACAACAGTTGCGTGCGTTGCGGACGCCCGACCCATTGACGAATATTCTATTACAACGAGCCTGACTCGTCGGGAATTACGTATTTTCCCCCAAAAATATTACTTTCCCTCTCAATACACGTCATTTCCGATCGCATTGTTGGCAATACTCATGAGAAGACTGCATTTTGACACGTTGGAATGTTCAACTCTACGATGGAAAATTTTCAGAGGGTAATTTTATTATTTTCCATATAAGGTATGGAATACCTTTTATATTCCTAATACGCAGATATCAAGATGATATTTACAGTTGCTGATTTGTCTCAGAAATATTGACATTTTCGCGCAAGGGAGAGACATGTCGCGCCATCTGTCGGGGACTCCGAGTACCGTCTCCACGTAATTGGTAAAAGGAGATGCATTCACGGAGTGATGGCAGATATAGGTAAAGTGTAGAAGACTGTAATCACATTAAATTCATAAACGTTATATACTCATTGTACTCTATGCTACACTTTAGACATTCTCGTTTAAGACATTCCCGTTGAAATCTAATGATAAGATGTATGACCGTAATCTCTGTTCGAAACGAATCATTCTTCCTGTAATCTTTGACGACAAGGTGCAGTAATTTAGGTGCAGCTTCAGAGAGTAAACTGCACTGAATCGCGTTCGGCATATTTATAATAATCTTCACAAAATATGCAAGCGATATCTCGTAGGTGAGCCACAGAGAATTTTGTTTGTCGATAATCAGATAATCGTCAACAATGTGTTAATAATATCTTACAAGCACTTTACGTATTTCGTATTACGCGGTTGTAATAAATAAATGGCATTGGCCGATTCTCTGCGTAGAACCTACCAATCACATCGTCGCGTGATATACACAGTCAGTTGCAGAACGGATGATGGCGCGGTAGCTCGGGTTCGAAAATCTGTTCCGTATCTCAGACGAATCTGGCTCGCCCGAGGTGGGTCTCGCGTATAGCCTGTCATCGAGAATGTCGAAAATCAGTTCCGCGCGTTGATCACGACGAAGCATTACAAAGTAACCGCCGAAGTTACTTCCAAGTCTCGTTGCGCACGACTCGATCCGAAGGTATATACGACTATCGTGCATTCGTGTTGTTACAATCGCTGTAAGTTTAAAACTCTGATTATTGCTTTTTTGGCTCATAGTGAGTAGTGTCCGGTTGGAGCCTCGGGCTTTCCAGTAGCCACTTGTAACAACAACTTTTGGCCCACCTAAGGAGGCTCATTCGTGAACAATAATCGTTGGTAGTGCTGAGATTAAATTTCATATCACACTGTCGCCGCGAAAAAATATCATAAAATAGACGCTAAAAGTGAGTGTCCGTCTAATAGCCGTTAGTGCCGTGTGCACTTGCATCTTCGATATTTCGAGAAACTCAATTGGAGCAATGTTCACTCGGTTACAGAATGGCGTATCATCACATACCCCGAAAGCCGTTCTGTACTTGTCGCGATCCCGGTTCGCCGGGATTCGAGACGAGTCTCGTGCTCGAATCATCGTCGAGAGGACCGGTAGTAAGTGTCGCGCGTTGCTTATATCAAAACATCACCAGGCAATCGCCGAGCATCTCATGAGAGAAGCGATGATCCGACGAGCGTCCGGGACGGTTACAGTGGTTCGTAATATCCACCCCGGAGCGTTTTTCGCCCATCGAAGGAGCGTCTAATTATCATCGCCAGTAGTGTCAGAAGTAAGTTTCGTGGCCTCATTGCGACAAAATATCGTCACACAAACACCGCAACCACGAATATCTGTCGCGCGTTCGTCACGTTACAATGATTCGCATATTTTCACACATGGACTTTTGTTGTTTCGGTTCCAACGAGGGAATCTTTCGTGTAAATTATCGTCAGCGGTAATGCCAAAAAAATTAGTTTCGTGTCCTCGTCGCGACGAAACATCGTGTCAAAGACACCACGACCGCCAAAAGCGAACGTATCGCGTAAAGGGCGCTGCAAGTACACAGTGAAGTTGCGTACGATTTACGTTCGCTTTGAGAAACTCAATCGCCGCGACGGCTCAGTCATAGAGCGGACTATAGTGCCTCGTCATGTACTCGGGAAATCGCTTTATACTTGCCGCGATTTTAGTTCGTTTGAGTTGATTTTCGCACACGCATTGCGCCGGTTGCGTGACGAAATTTGTATAACTGTCAAAAGTGAATATCACGGGCCGTCGGGAATGTTGATTATGAGTGAAGTTGTACATTCGCTATTTAAGGAAACTCAGTGCGAATGGACCATGGCGCGACGTCGTGTACCCGCCAAGCTGTCCTCTATACATCTCGCGATTTTAGCTCGCGTAAAGCGGGTCTCGCGCGGATTATCGCCAAGAGCGCCGATAGTAAGTTTCGCGCGTTGTTCGCGACAAGTGACTACCGCTAGTTAGTAAAGTGTTTCACGGAATGGCCCGTCGGGAGTGCCGAAAATGAGCGTCGCGCGTTTGTCGAAATGAAATTCGCGAAACAGCCACTCACAATGAACATCTCGGGAAACTCTGCCGTCGGGAGAGTCAGCAGTGAATCGCTCGTCCATCGTGCTATTCGGAGTTGAAATTGCTGTGTACTGCCGACCTCGAGCCTGAAATTTCGACCTGTTAAAGGAAAACTCAGTGAGTACTGATTAAATGAAGTCTGCTATAGATAGTACGTCTGTGATTTTTGTATATCAAGTGTTTTATATTTGCTTGCTCGAATTGAAGTTTCTAGATAAGTAACCGAAAACGGTCGATCATGTTGTTGTACTTTAATTATTAACCTCGGGTTCAGTTGGTAATTCGGTTGGTATAATTCTACTTGCATTAGTCGGTAATAGCAGCTTGTCGGTATTGATGTGCAAGTTGATAAAGCTGTTCTCTGTGAGTTGAGTTACCCGCGCGACAAGTTTGAAAGTAAACACAACAGTAAAAAAATTTTTTACATAAACAGTCCATATCAGTTATCTCGATTTTAACTATTATTAATCGATGTACGCTTACATCGTACAATCAACCTTCAGTTAGGAGCCGACGAGCACCACATTGATATCGCGAAACTCTGCAGTTACCGACAGTACTCGACCGTTTCTAGTGACGCCGCTAGATGTCGCCGGCGTACACGCGCACGAGTCGCGTCCGGATTTCAGGTTTTAGAATATCGGGAATGGTGGGACAGCGACTTATAGTTCTCGTATTATTATTGCTATTTGGTTGTACCATGACCTCCTTTTACACGGCGCACATGCAACCGTACTAACCGCTTGCGAAAACATCGACCCGAAATACAAGCGTCAACGACTTCTTCGTGAGTAATGCATTTCGGTTTGAGAAAGTAAAGTCGCCTCCTCGTGACGGTGTATTACGCTTTAAGAAAGAAAGAAAATAACGCACAATTATGAGTCCCCTACAAAGTACGATACTCTTTTTTATCTTCATGAATAATAGATTCTCTCTCGTGACATCATAAGGCTACGATGTTTCTTTCCTATTGGCTAAAATGTATTTATTTTTCCATCATGCATAAAAATTATGGTTTAAGAAAGAGTACATTTCCATATATATTTATTTTATTATTAATATAGCAAAGGAACAAAAATAATAAAAATATTAATTTTTCTGACATTATTTGCAAAAGTTATTCACATCAATAAAGTCGTTTTTGTCAAGAATATTTCTTATGTTATGCTAGCGACGGCTAATATTATCGATTTATTGCTGTGCATGCATAATGTCAAGAAGGTCAGTAAGTATTTCTAGGAAAAGGATGTTAACATGTTGACTGTCACGGGTATCACCGTTGATCAGGCACCATGATATTGCCGCGTCTCATTAATTTTCATACAAGACGTGATCTCTCTTTCTCTGAATTGCATATAACAAATAAAATATGCAACCAATGGGAAGTCATATTAGAACAAGTTAACAGTCATACGCGTCATGCAATTGCAATTTATTTACCATATCTCCGGTTATTCAAACTTGAGGTGAAATAATCCATGGGAATCAGCGCGACAGTCAGTGTGTTAATATTCACAAGATATCGAAAGGATATTTAAGTGTGCTGTCCGCATAATGGGCGGACAACATCATTACGAATCGGAGCGTGACGTGATAATACTATTAGGAACTTCAACGTTAATTTGCTTTGTCAATGCATGCCCACGTGAACCTCGTGAGTGTACATTTAATACTAGACGATGATGGGCATACGCATACAGAGTTATGATAAATTTTCCGAAACACAACAACCGGCGCGTGTGTATCTGCGTATTTTCAGTAAACCATACGAAGTCAAATTAAGAAATTCACCGGACTATACGAGCATCGTTGTTACTTGTATCGTTTAATATCCTCTTCAAACGATACTGACACATCTGTCAACCATCCAAATTAACAACGGACTCACAGACTAGTTTCAAAGCGTTCGAGTTATAACACAATAGTCCGCGGCGAAATCGAACGAGTTTATCGTTTTGCAAATCATTCTCGCGCATCACCGCAGCGCGAACGCAGCAAGCCCGAAAATTCCCGTAAACCCTTCCGTCGATACATCACCAGCATAATACTGCTTCCTTTAACACCCGGTATACGTGCAAGTGGCAGCTCGAGAGCTCGCGATAGATCAACGCGCACGTGTGCGTATGTGTGTGCGCGCGCGGGAGAGTGTGCGACTAAATTCGACGTGCATTGGAGCGATTCTCGCGCCGAATGCACGTACTGTCCGGTGAACGGATGTATACGTGTGCGTATGTGCGCGGCAGCCGTACGTACGTGCGCATTTATACAGCCTGTACGCGCTCAGACACACGCACACACACACACACACACATATGCGAGAGTGGGCACGCGAGCGCGAGCGTCGGTGTCCGACGCCTCGTCATATGTACGTGTCAAAATCAATATTTGGCGTCACTGGGTTATGATAACGCCGCGCGGCGTGTCGCGCGTGTACATGCACGTATGTGTGTGTGTGTGCGCGCATACGTGCGATGCGGTATGCACACGTGTGGTGATGCACGCGAGCGGTGCAATCTGCCGGATTTCGCGGAATTTCCGCGTCGCCCTTGCAACGCCATCGTAAACAATGCGTACGCTCCGAAACTTTTCCCATCTCGGGAAAACGCACCAATGCACAACAACCGTCGCTGACCGTCACGCCGCCGTTCATCGGACATTTTTGAATCGTCAGAAACTGAATTGCGGTGCGCGTTTACGCGATATCTCGCCACCGCCGCCGGCACCGCCGCGGCCTAAGGCACGATAAGCGAAACCGTCAACCGGCCGCTTCCGACGTTTGTCATCGATGCCTCTGGAATTTTCTGCACGCGGATCTCTCGATCGTCCGCGCCTCCACCGCAAAGCGCGTTCTCTTAGAACCGTTGATCTCAATTTCAGCAAATTGGCGCCTAAGTGCGCCGTTAGTAACGGAAGACTGCAGTTTGTTTTTTTTGCAAATTACAGGAAAGTCTCGCGAAAACTGCAAATATATCACAGATATAAAAGTGTAAATGTATGAACGCGTTCCTGATTATTCTTATTGTTTTGGGATATTTAAATACGAATATTTCAACTCTCAACATATAAAATATATATATATATATATATATATATATATATATATATATATATATCTTCTACATTGAAAGTTTAAATGTTTGTGTTTAAAGACTAAAGCTAGAAGAATGTCCAGGATTAGATACGTGTCGGGGAATTTATCACCTTACTGCAATATTTTGCAATTTTCTCAATGACTTTGATGACGCATTTTTCCTGCGTTCGCAGAAGAATGTTATTTTAAATACTCACGCCTAATTTGTTAAAAGTGTCAATATTCTTGCACTATAGCGAATTTAATAAATATTGTGTTGTATTTGTGTTACAGTGCTTTCTCTCGCCAAAGACGCCATTTCCACGCCGGAACACACGCGACGGATTTTCTTCATTCAAGCGCGAGCTGGGCAAGTTCACGGTCGCTATTTTCGGCAGAGAGCAGAGCAGGATCGAGGTGGAGAGGCAGAAGTAGAGAAGCCGGGCGGTGCCAGCGAAGTAGAGGTAGGTGAAATATAGAACTGCCACCTGTTCGACTGCACCGCTAGCGCATTGTGCCGCGGGCTTTTTCTGCTGCGAGCTGAAAGATTATCATTGCAAACCGGGACTGCGGCCCGACGCGTCTATCTTGACTCGCCGTGAAACTTAATTGCTGCATGAAAATGAATGGAAACGTTTTAACAACATTAGTTACGTCCTTGTTGATTTTCAACGTAGCCTCGTTGATTTTGTTAATGGCGCCGGCTTTACGACTCTGAATGGTCGCTGATTCCGGCAAGGATAAGTCTCGTTGAGGTTTATCGATTGTTTATCGGCTACCCAGCCACTATATACGTACTCACAAACGTTAGAGAATGTCGTGTGATTTATATTCTCTCAGTTGGTCGAGCAGTGTTTGCATACGCGTGTACAAATATCTTGAAGTAACTGCTACGTCATCGGTGATATAACTTAGTACGCCATAACTTCTCCTTCGAGTCTATATAACGTAGTACGTTCTTCCTCTCTACCGTGTTCGCGCCCCTCTAAAGGAGCATTACGTACAGTGGATGTAATCAAGAACGTCTGTTATCGCCTTTAATTAATCGCACTCGCCTGTCGATTTGCTTCTTGAGCGAGGACACACGTCCCGGATTATGCATCGTACTACTTTCGTTTCTCTCGCTTCCTCTTCCCTCTCATTCCCACTATATTTCCATCATTCCCAGCGCTCCGACAATTCTCCACGCATGGCCTGCCACGTTTTTCGTGCCGTTCATGCCTATTTTCCGGCGAAGCGATTCGGTCGACGACGCGATTTTCCCGCACGCGGCACATTTTCCTCGCAGAGAGAGATACATTCGTCGTATTGATTCACACGCGCACACACATATGTGTGTGTGCGCGCGCGCGCGCGTGCGTGTATGTGTACGTGTGTAATACCGGCGTCAGCTCCGATGACAGGTGTGAACGTGTCTCATAAAGTCTTACAAAATAATTCAGGTAGAGAGAAAAAGAGAGAGAGAGTCTTCCAAATAATTTCCGTAACTTTTTATGGTAATGTGACAGTAATAAATGTACAGTGCGAATTATCATCATACGGAACTGTCGTTCTATTAGCGAAATGCTCACGCGACTACGCGCAGAAATTACTCAGGACTGTAAAAAATGCGTCTGTATCCTCCGGCCGGTAAATTAAGATTAATTACTCGATGAGAACCGGAAGAAAGAACTGACTGGATAAAATTCCCCTCGTCGCTTTCGTGCGAGGTTGCGCACTTCCTCGCGAAATCTGCACGTTGCCGCGTGTGTTTCCACCGTGTGATGTACATATATGCATCTTCCGGGGCAGTACGTGCGTTTGATACGCGCATTGCGTTCGCACACGCACTATAACAACGCCGCTGCTGCTGCTGCTGCTGCCGCCGACAACGACGACGACGACGATGACGACGATCACACGTACTCTCCGAACGTAGTCGTCGCCGTCGTCATCGTTGTCGTCGTCATCCCAGCAGACGGCTCTCTTCTCTCGAATATCTGTACGCGCTCGCACGTGGATGTCGGCGGTGTGGCGTATGTTGCGGCGA